CTGAAGTAGGATCAGTCAGTGCAACCAGAACCGGAGCAGGAAGCGGAGTGAGGGTCGTGTGGTCGCGAAAGAAGCACGGAGATGCGCCAGAGTCCAACATGAAATAGAGCGACGCCTTAGCCGTAGGTGCACCTTGGCTAATAACTACACAAGCACCTAGACTAGAAGCACAAGCACATACACTAGCAACAAGCAAACAACCTAAACTACGAACATGCGAGTATACGGATCCAACAGCACTATAGTCCACATCGGCATACAACACAGAGGCGGACTTCATGGCAGCAAACAGCTCTACTTCATACATCTAAAACAATGACGGACCAAGGGAACAAGCCAGCGTGGCCTAGTGCGAAGAGGGGCCGTCACCATACTCCGCGCGAAGGCGGTCTGTGAGCTGCGCAAAACACTGTCCAGGAGGGTGAAAGCGGCCACAGGGCTGACCATGACATGTCCCATTCTGGACAAGGTACTGGCAAAGAGTAGGGGGGGTACTATGGGACACCAAGCTGGGCGTGCCACTACCACGCCCAGCGCCCCCTGGTCCACCAGATCTCCACTGCTGGGGCTGCTGCTGTACCTTCCGCTGAACCTACTGCTGCGGCTGTCCCTGCTGCGGCGACGGCTGTCGTTGCTGCTGCTGTGGTCCCTACTGTGGCTGCTGCTGCTGGGCCCACCGCTGCTGCTGCGCTGCTGCCGCTGCGTACCAATCAGCTGCGCCAGCACTCCCTCCCGTCGGTCCCGCAGGCCCAGTGCCACCTCCACTGCAGCCTCCACTAGACGCACTAGTACCGCCCCCACCTCCACCACCCCCTGCGTCACCCCCTCCGCCACCACCAACGCTACCACCCGTCCCCCCTTTCTTACCTCCCTTACCCCTAAACTGCCCACACGCAGTGGACACGGCTGCAGTGTCATCAGTAACAGGAGACACAGTAGAGGCAAGAGAAGCAGTGCGGGTGGGGAGGTGTGGAACAGTGTACCCCTGAAAGAGCGGGGGAACCACGGCGCCAGAAGCGGAGGCAACGGAGTGGATGTTGCCCTCGACATCCTTGAGTGCTGACTCAAGGACTTCGATAGTGAGCTCAGTGGGGTGCTTTCGAAGAAGCGCGTCGCGTACAGGTGCAAGGCAGTTAGGGAGGCAAGTGGCTATGAAGTGAATAGTGATAGGCATGGGCTCGGGGAGCATCGCAAGCTCAGCCTCAGTACAAGCAGCACGGTAGCTAGAGTCGAGCGAGCGCAGGTGGGTGATAAAGTCAGCAGTTCGGGCAAAAGCGCTCCGAGGTCGGGAAACAGGAACGACATGAAGAGGCGACCGAGGGAGGCGGAGGAGGGAGTGGAGTAAGGCGAAACAGGCCTGGGCAGATTGAACCTGGCTGAAGTGTGCCTCCTCAGACTCGGGGAGAAGGTTGTGCGGGCTTTGTCAAAGCGTTCCTGCTCCACGCAGTAGGCTCCTCAGGCAGGTTACGAGGGCGAGGAGGCGAACGCAGGTCATTAGAGGCGTGCGCCCAGAGCGTGTCGCCATCCTGGCGCTGACTCTGTAGGTACAACCCGGTGCGGAGGATTCAGGTGGGGAACTCTAGTGCCCTACCCTCCGTATCGAAACGTAGGGGTCGAGGGGTCGTCATGGCTGGGGCCCGACCGGACTAGAAGCAGAGGCTATGAACGAACGAAGCTCGAGATTAAATAGAGCTGTAAGGGCTAGCCTTGGAACGGTCGAAGCGAGTGGTGAGGAGAGCCAGAGAGGCTAGTCTAGAGACGCCAGGCACGAAGGGGCCCTAACCCTAATCTGCCGTAGGAAGGTCAACGGGCGCATGTGCAGGCAGCAGGTGCGAGAGCGGCTGCAGGTACGTGTGGGGCAACGGGCGCGTGTGCGGGTACGTGTGGGGCAGCAGGTGCGAGAGCAGCTGCAGGTGCGCGGGCGGCTGGCGCTATGCGAGTGGTCCCTGTTGCGCTTGCAGCTGCGCGGGGAGTCGGCCGCTTGCGGCTGCTACTGCACGTGCGGGTGCAAGCGGGCGGCGGCGTGCGCGGGTGCACCGGACGGGCTGCGTGCGGGGCGGGCTAAAGTGCGCGTGGGGCGGGCGGACTGCGTACGGGGCGGGCAGTGCGTGGGGCGGGACAGGCTGTGCGCGGGCGGGACGGGCTGCACGCAGGGCGGGCTCGGCTGCGTACGGGACGGAGCTGCACGTGCCGCGGGACAAGCGGCGCGCGGGCGGGACGGGCTGCACGGACTGCGCGTGCGGGCTGCGCATGAGAGTACGGGACGGGGTGGGGCGGGGCAGGTGCGGGCAAGGGGCGTGACGGGTGTGGGGCGGGCCAGCGAACGGGAAGGAGAGCGGCCTGCTAACAGGGCGAGGTGCGGCCGGCTAAGGGGCGGGGCGCGGCCTGCTACAGAGCGGGGCACAACCTACCAAGGGGCGGGACGGGGCGGGGCTAGGCTAGGCTAAGCTAAGAATGATTTCCTACTCGTGATACCATCTCAGAAGTAGAACACAATGGAATGATGGTTAAGAAAGGGTTGGGATACAAGTGCAAACCCTATCAATGTCACACTCCCTACAGTATACATCACTACAGCTTACAACACAAATATATATATAGTTTGACATAGCGATACCTGGAATGCCGGTATAACCTTTCGGTTATTCCAACAATTTATCGAAATGTTAGCTCAACTTATGCACTTCTATCAAAATTGTGGGTTGTGATGGTTAACGTGATTATCCAGAAGAACAAATATATATATCGTAGGCTTTCTAGTCATCAACGTTACGCGAAAACGGTAGAAAAAGGTTACACCCCTATCCCAAGTGTTTAGAATGCTCATCTTCGCAGCACCTACGAGATCCTGCCACGTTGCTGGCACCTGCCTACTCAGCAGTTACAACAGTCAAGATCTGCCGTACCAGTAATGTGGAGCATGAGGTCCTTCGCATGAACTGATATGTACCGATTTTTCCCGTCATTCGTCTTCGCGCGATCTTCATGAAGTCTTGGGAGTGTTTGTTCGGTGGGCTATCATTGGTCCGATATAGATTCTCCGAGCCTTCCTCGTGAACTTCGGCTGACTCCACTGAGCATGCGCCACCACCAGCATGCTTCGCCGAACGTGCGACACGATAACTGCGACACTCTGGACGGATTTCGTCGCACAATAACCACAGGTGGGGGAAGGAAGGTTTCCCTCCCACCCATCTGACGTGTTTGGTTGCGTTGTGGGGGATGTGAATTGGATGGGATGTCAGCCTAGGCTAGAATAAATCTGCACCTGGCAGGTTCCCCATAGTCTCCCGTTTGTTCTCTTTTTTCCTCTAGCTGTAGTATCCCGTTCCGCAGTATTTCGCACTTCGCCATGTTCTAAGGTCTTTGCAGGAGCCACGCAAACTGTACCTTTTCTTACAGCCGGATCAAGGCGTGCACAACACGAGGCTGTATCTCACTACAGTTGTATTATTGTGGCTGCTGGCACTTTTGCGCTCGCTTGCATGTTTCATACAGGGGGCTGTTGCTGGGCGATTCGTCGTTCGTATTCGCGAGATTCGTGGAAACTGGCATGTCTGTTGGTGCATAGAAATTCGCTTCCGCTGAACCCCCTCGTGAACATCGATACTAGCAAAGAGTTGTCATGTCACAGGCCCCCATAACTCGCGCGCTCCGAGTGTACTGGCACGCTGGTCAGTGATAAAAGCTCCTTTGCTCCTCCACTCCCCAGTGGTCACTTCTGAGTCGGACATTCTCTTTCCTGCTGCTCTTCTCGTCGCCAGCAACTCTCCTGACACCAGATTACTACAAATAAACAAGTTCGCAATTGTCCAACCTGCCACCATGCATCTCCTCGCTGACCGTCCCTGGAGTTACATCGTGAGTCGTCCCGTGAAGGAAAAGGTGGTCGCACAGGTGGACGGACAGACTGTCCCTGCGAATCTGGAACCCGGTAACGAGCAGCAGCACTGGCGAACAATTCGTTGCGGGAATGGTTACCACGTGATACAGAATCGCGAGACAAAGAACGTTCTGGACCACTGGAGCTCGCAGCGTATGGCGGCGGATAATCGCAATTGGGAGGACCCGCACCATCAATGGCAGATGGAGGGGGAGTTTGTCGTTCTTAAGAACCGCGCATCGGGGGCGGAGCTGGATTTCTACTACGGAAATAGCATCCAAGCAACGGATAGAGACTTTCATCACCACTACCACCAGTGGCGGATTATCCGCGCGGATCAGGTGGCGGGTGCAAATCCGTCGTCGACGTCGTCGGAGGGGGAGGAGGAAGAAGAGGAGTCTCCAGGAGTGAAGCTGCAGAAGATCAAGTGCGACGAACGCCACCTGCTGTGATTGCCAGTTGAGAGTGGCGAGGAAATCGTAGAAATCCACACAGACCTTTATTGAGAGGGAAATGTTGGGATCCACATAGGAATGCGAGAGGGGTTTGAATCGAATGTGCAGCAGTCGTAAACAGAGGGAAATGTTGGGAGGGGGGGTTGGGTTGGGCTTAGCGGGTTCCCTCGATTCTTGTACATCACGTTCTTATAGTTTGGTGCCTTGAATTTGCCAAGCGCAGTGAACCCAACTGAACCGCGCTCTATGCCTTCGAATCACATCCAACGGTAATATGTCCTACAAGTTGCTCCGACAAGGAGATTAAAGGCCTGACTTTCACATAGACCTTTATTGCCCAATGCCGACGGCTTTTCATGCCCTACCTATACACTAACAAACACCACTACCCTACCACACGAACAATAACCTAGGCTAGAAAATCCACCCACTCTCTGCTCTCCACGCTGCTGAACGAAGGGTGCGCACACGTGTGCACCGCTACGCTTGCTCCATTATGAGTCTCACTTACAGCACTGTCCTAGCGAGCAGACCACAGAACTCTGCAGAGGGCAGATGCATGCTCTGCTTGACCTTAGGTCGCATTCTGATGCTCCAGCAGCTGACATGACAGGTGGTGAGCTGAGCAGTAACACCCTTGCTACCCAATCATCTCAACCGCACTACTTGCGACCCCACTTGCTGCTCTTCACCCCGCCTGATCGCACCCTAGTCACTCCATGCACACCGGCCCCCTCCTGCTGCTGCCTCCCGCCCCACCCCTCCACACCCATCTCCACCCTCTGCAACCCCCCTCCCCACTCCTCCTCTCCCTTCCTCCCACCTTCCACCTCCCCTTCCACCTCCCCTTCCCCCTCCCGACCGCCTCTCCCCTCCTTTCCTCGCCCCTCTGCTTCCCTCTCCTCACCCAGACGTCCCTTTACCCTGTTCACAACCACTGTCCGCCTCCCTCGTGCCCAACCCACCATCTCCCTCCCACCTCCCACCACCACCCCACTCTCCCCCACACCTACTCGCCTCCCACCACCTCCCCCACTTCTCCCTACACCACCACCACCTGCTTTCCCCCATGATGCGCCCCCATCCTCTCCGCTGTTCCTTCCCATACCATCCCCACCTCCGAACGTCCCTCGGGACCCCCTTCCAACACCCCCTCCTCGTCTGTCCTTTCGCCCCCTGCCTCTTCCCCTGCCCGAGCCACCCCTTCCCATGGTTCTATCCATGCGCCCTGTCGGTTCCTCACTCGGGCTAAACCAGTCATCACTGCCTGCATCTCCATCCTCTTCCTCTTCCTCCTCTTCCTCTTCTTCCTCCTCCTCTTCCCCTTTTTCATCTTTCCCTTCCTTGTCCTCACCCTCTCCTCTATCGCTCCCCTTCACGCCATCGCCATACGCACGCAGTAGCGAATGCCTGTCGTCTCCCCTGCTCCCAGCCCCCTGAACCCCCTCACTCTCCTCCTCTTCCTCTTCCACCTCCTCCTCCTCGCTCTCCTCCTCAATTTCTCGAGAGTAGAAACTTGACCTCACAGCAGCAGCACCACCAGAACCCAGAACAGCCACGCTACCCACCACCTTCTCCCCCATACCCTCCACACTCACACTCCCTTCCACCGTCACCCCTCCCTCTATCTCCAACTTAACATCCACCCCCACTCTCACCCTCCTCTCCTTAACCACGCCTCTCACCCCCTCACTCCTCCCACCATCCGCCTCTCCATCCCTGCTGCTGCTGCCTCCCTCCTCTCCCCCCTTACCCTCCCCTCCGCCCACCAGCCCTCCCTCCTCTGCTCCTCTGCTGCCACTACTACACCCATTCCGAACCGTCCTCCTCCTCTTCCTGCGAGGCACGTCTAGTCGAAACAGAGTACCAGGTGACCCGCTCTCCCTTACCCCAACATGCACCTCGTGCCTGCTCCTGCTTCTGCTCCTCTTCCCCACTGCACCTGCCCCTAACATTCCTCCCTCTAACTCTCCCATTTCTTCCTCTCCTCCTTCCCTTCCTCCCTCTCCCCTTTCCTTTCCTCCCTCCCCCATTGCTTCCTGTGCCTTTCCTCCATCTCCTTTTCCTACCTCTCCTCGTCCTTTCCCCACTCCTCCTCTTTCCCCCTCTCTTCTTCCTCCCTCTCTTGTTTCCCCCTCCCTTCTTCCTCCCTCTCCTCTCTCCCCCTCTCTTCTTCCTCCCTCTCTTCTTCCTCCCTCCCCTCTCTCCCCCTCTCTCCTTCCTCCCTCTCCTCTCTCCCCCTCTCTCCTTCCTCCCTCTCCTCTCTCCCCCTCTTTCCTTCCTCCCTCTCCTCTCTCCCCCTCTCTCCTTCCTCCCTCTCCTCTCTCCCCGTCTCTCCTTCCTCCCTCTCCTTGCTCCCCGTCTCTCCTTCCTCCCTCTCCTCTCTCCCCGTCTCTCCTTCCTCCCTCTCCTCTCTCCCCCTCTCTCCTTCCTCCCTCTCCTTTTCTCCCAACTTTCGTACCTACCACTCCTCTTTCCGCCTCTCTTCGTCCTCCCTCTCCTCTTTCCCCCTCCCTCCTTCCTCCCTCTCCTCTGTCCTCCCCCCTCCTTCCTCCCTCTCCTCTTTCCCCCTCCCTCCTTCCTCCTTCTCCTCTTTCCCCCTCTCTTCTTCCTCCCTCTCCTCTTTCCCCCTCCCTCCTTCCTCCCTCTCCTCTTTCCCCCTCTCTTCTACCCCCCTCTCCTCTTTCCCCTTCTCTTCTACCCCCCGCTCCTCTTTCCCCCTCTCTTCTACCTCCCTCTTTTCTTTCCCCCTCCCTCCTTCCTCTCTCTCCTCTTTCCCCCTCTCTCCTTCCTCCCTCTCCTCTTTCCCCCTCTCTCCTACCTCCCTCTCCTCTTTCCACCTCTCCTCTTCCACCCCTTCTCGCATCCCCTCCCTCTCCCACTCCTCCTCCTCTCCCTGTGCTTGCCACATCTCGTTCCATACCTCTTGCTACTCCAATTCCATCTCCCCTCTCCTCTGCTCTCCCCTTAACCTCCATTAGCTTAACCTTCTTACTACCATCATTACCAGCAGCAGCAGCAGTAGCAGCAGCAGCACCACCACCACCAACCCCCCTACCTCCACCATCAAACGCAGACTCGCCAGGTGACTCTTTGACTTTCTTTTGCTTCCCTTCACCATCGCCTCGTTCCCGACCATCTTCACTCTCTCTCCTCACTTTCTCCTGCGTACTCTTCTTTTCCTCCTCTTCCAATCCTCCCTCTCGTGACCCCACCCTTCCCAGCACAATCCCCCCAAACCTCCCACGCTTTTCTCCCCGCTTTTCTCCTCTCCCTTCCCCCTTCCCTTCCGCTCTCCTTTCCCCTGCCTTCCCTTCTTTCATCCCCCCTTCCCATTCTCTTCCCCCATCCCTGTCTCTCTTAGCCTCACTCAAACCCTTAGCACGCTTCTCGTCCCTCCCTCTTCTCAACCCCCACTCTTCCTCCATCTCAACACCCCCGTCCACCCTCCCCCCTTTTTCCACCTTCCCCTCCCTCACCACCCCACCTTCCCTCCCCACCTCCCTTTTCGTCTCCTCGTCCCGTTCCTTCTTCCCCTCCAATCCTCTCTGCCACTCCCCTCCTTCGCTTCTCCGCCTGTCCGTCGCAACTGCAGATCGTTTCTCCCCTCCCAATCCCCCCCTTTCCGTTCCCCGTGCTGCCTCAGGAGGAACAGGAGAGGCAGCAGAGGCGAGACGAGATGCAGAAGAGGCACCATGAGGGCTGGAAACTTGGTGAGGGGCCTTTGCAGCAGCAACGGCATCGGCACCAGAAACACTACCTGCCACAGCAGCAGGCACAGTAGTCGCATTACACGATTCCTTCACCTCGCCTAAACTCTCTGTCCTCCCATGCATTCTGCTCCCTTCAGTGTTGCTGCTGTTTCGATTGCCGCCTCCCTTTTCTCCCTCGCCTCCACTCCCTTCCCTTCTCCTTCCCTCTCCCCATCCCTTTCCACTTCCTTCTCCCCTCTTTCCACTTCCCTCCCCTCCCCCCACACCTCCTTCCTCCCCTCCTCGATCTCCTCCCTCTCTTCCTCCGTCTCCTCCCTCTCTTCCTCCGTCTCCTCCATCTCCTCCTCCCTCTCTTCTTCCCTCTCCTCCGCCCTCACTTATTCCCTCTCCTCTTCCCTCACTTCTCCTTCCCTCACCCATACTCTCGCCACCATTACCAGCAGCAGCAGCACCAACAGTTCCCTCCTCTCCCGCCCCGGCAACCCCCAACCCCTCAACCACACTCAACTCCTTCCCACCGTCCTTCACACCGTCCCTAACGTCCTTAATAAGTGCAGCAGAGGGCAACGTGATACTAAGGGTGGTGCTGTTGGGTGGTATATGCAGCCGGGCCCCACTAGTGCTAGCAACACTGGTTCCTTGTGTTTCCGCCTCGCCATAACCACCAGCACCAGCACAGCCGGCACCATCAGATGCAGCAGCAGAAGCATCAGCATCGGCAGCATCAGCAGCAGCAGCAACAACGTTGGTGCCACAACCAGCAGCAGCAGGTGCTGCAAGGCTGCTTCTGTCAACCAACTCGTGTGTCCCCACCACTGTTACAGGCTCATCAAATATGGGTGCTTCCTGCTCCTTCTTCTGCACATCCTGCTGCTGCTGCTGTTCTCCCAGCTGCTCTTCTTGCCGCTTCTCTTCTTCCTGCTGCTGCTGCTGCTGCTGCTGCTGCTGCTGCTGCTGCTGCTGCTGCTGCTGCTGCTGCTGCTGCTGCTGCTGCTGCTGCTGCTGCTGCTGCTGCTGCTGCTGCTGCTGCTGCTGCTGCTGCTGCTGCTGCTGCTGCTGCTGCTGCTGCTGCTGCTGCTGCTGCTGCTGCTGCTGCTGCTGCTGCTGCTGCTGCTGCTGCTGCTGCTGCTGCTGCTGCTGCTGCTGCTGCTGCTGCTGCTGCTGCTGCTGCTGCTGCTGCTGCTGCTGCTGCTGCTGCTGCTGCTGCTGCTGCTGCTGCTGCTGCTGCTGCTGCTGCTGCTGCTGCTGCCGCTGCTGCTGCACATGCTGCTCCTGCTCTCGTGCTGCGAGGCGCTCTTGCCGCCACGCGGGAAGGTCCCCATGCCCTTCACGCACGAGTTCAGTACCCGTCACTGACTCACCAGGTGGCTTGTGCGTCGACTCAGAAATCGTCTCTGCCCCCTGTCCTGCGTCCTTCACTGACTCATGCGCACCAGCCCTGCCTCGCTCGTTTCCTCCTCCGTCCCCCAACTCCCCCTTCCCCACCTCGTTCCCAACATCGCCCTTCCCTCCTCGGGTTCCCCGTCTAGGGTCTTCCCCTTCAGCATCTCTCCCCTCGACTCCACTCGCTCCCTCCTTTCCACTCATCCCCTCTCTTCCACCCATCTCCACCATGCTTCCATTCATCCCACTCTCGCCGTTCTTGCCATCTGAAGCTGCAGAAGCAGACGGATCACGAGCAGCAGCAGCAGCAGCAGCAGCCAAACTGAACGAACTAGTCTTATCTACAGGCTGATGCTGCTGCTGCTCTGCTTCCTCCTCCTGCTGTTCCTGCCGCTGCCGCTGCTGCTGCTGCTGCCGGTGCTGCTGCTGCTGTTCTTGTTGATGCTGCAGCAGCTGACGCCCATGCGGGTACAGCATCCTTCTTTCTCTCTCCTCCATGCTCCCATGCCACACACCATACATCCTCCCTTCATCCACGTCCTCATCTTCCCCCACCGCCCTGCCTTCAACCATACCGCTCCCTTCCCCCACCCCCCTCCCCCCTTCCTCTTTCTCCGCCCTGCACCCACGTGTCCCATCTGCTCCCTCAACTCCCCCATCAGCCGCCCCCTCTCCTTCTCCCTGCAACCGCATTCCCCCTCTCAGCACTGCTCTTCTTTCTCCCTCTCCATCCCTCACTCCCCCACCTTTCCCACTGCCTGCCATTGCTCTCTCTGCCCTACCTTTCAACACGTTCCCTTCCCAATTTCTCCCCCCAGTCACCATTGCAGCCGCTGCCTCCCGTCCTCCCTCCCGTCCCCCCATTGCCATTGGTCGCTCTGCAACAGTCTGTTCCCGAGCACCAATCACATCGCTCCCCCTGCCTCCCTGCCCCGCTCTCCATTCCCTCCTCACGCCCCTCACAATCACTCTCCACCTTGGAATGTCAATAATCTCATGATACCTCAACCTCCCCTCTACCCCTCCCCCAAACCCAACCCCCCCCATCCGTCCCTCTCCCAGCCCCCCAACCCCTTCCCCTCCCATCCCTCTCCCTTTTCGCTCCTCCCCCTCCCCACTCCCTTCCCCTCCTTCCTCCTCCTCACCCTCACCCCCCTCCTCCTCCTCCTCTCCCTCCTCCTCCTCATCCCCATCCCCCTCCCCATCCCCATCCGCCCCTCCCTCACCTCCTCTCCGTCTCCTCTGTCTCCTCCCAGCAGGCGGCAGCAGCAGCGGCAGCACCAGATCATCTAAATCAAAGTCTAGAAGCCCTTCCAGTGCAAAAGCATCCCCTAACCCGCCCAGCCCACACACACCACCACCACCCAGCCCCAGCTCAAGCCCCAGCTCAAGCTCCCCATGCACCTCTAGCTCTACCCCCAGCTCCTGCCCATCCATATACCCACTCTCATGCGCTGCTGCTTCCTCTGCTGCTGCTGCTGCCGCTGCTGCTGCGGCGGCTGCTGCAGCGGCGGCGGCGGCAGCGGCGGCAGCGGCAGCAGCAGAGGAGGAAGGGGCGTCTGATTCTGCTGCTCGTTGTGTTGAGTCCCCACTGCCCCCCCTCTTGCTTGCTGCTCCTGCTCCTGCTGCTGCTGCTGCTGCTGCTCCTGCTCCTGCTCCCGGTGTTGCTTCTGCGCCTGGTAACGCTCGTACATGACTGCTTACCCCACCAGCAGCAGCAGCAATGGCGGCAGCAGCTGCGGCTGGTAGCACAGGGTGTTTGTGAGCGGCAGTGGCAGCAGGAGCAGGAGCAGGAGCAGGAGCAGCAGCAGCTGCATTTATTGGCTTCCCAACTGCAGAATCACCCCCACCACCACCACCACCACCACCAGCTGCTGCTGCTGCGGCTGCTGCTGCGGCTGCAGCTGCAGTGGCATGTGTTCGGCCCTTCCCCTGAGGGTCCCGCTTTGCAGAAAACGCATCGCCGCCGTCTGCTTCCTCCTGCTCCTGCCCTGCCCCATCCCTGCCCAGGCGAAAAGACCCGTCTGATTGGACCGGAGCAGAACGGGCAGATGAAACGGTTTTAGAGGAGGAAATGGCTGGGATGGGAGGAGGTGGGAGGGGGATTGGGGTAACCGCAGCACTGCCACCCACAGCACGAGTGGCGGCAGCAGCAGCTGCTGCAGTGGGTCTCGGGGCTGATACAGGTGCAGTGGAGGGGTATTGTGAGTGCTGGGAACGATTGTGATGTGCAGGCGCCCCTGCACCCCGCACCCCTGCTACCCCCACTGCTGCTCCTGCCTGATGTTGTGTGGCAGTAGCAGCAGCACCACCGCCAGCAGCAGCAGCACGAGCAGCACCCGCAGGGAGAGGCGGGTGGGTTGTGGTGGGAGCAGAGGAGGCAGATCGCAGGAGCTGGGCAGACAGAGCACGCACACGCACCTGCAAGGAGTGATGGGTGGGGGGGGGCATGCAACGGGAGAGGTGGGAGTAGTAGGGAGTAGAGAGGTGGTGGTGAGGAGTGTGGGAAAGGCAATGGAAGCAGGGAAAAGAAAGGGAGGGAGTGGGAGATGAGTGAGCGACGAAAACGGAGAGGAATGGAGAGAGGGAGAGGAATGGGGAGGGGACATGAATGAGGAGAGGAGATGAACGAGGAGAGCGGACAGGAATGGGGAGACGAGTGAGCAGAGCAGAGCAGCAGCACGAGCGAGCAGTGTGACTTTTGAGCCACTCATGGGGATTTTCAAAAGTGACTCCAATATAGCCTCGAAAGGCAGAGTAGCAGCAGGGCACGAACGTGTGAGTAAGCTCTGCTCTTCCAAGCGACATTCTTCTGAGGTGCCTTGATTGAAAGGCAGCGCAAAACAAAAGCACGAGCGGGCGAGTGAGTGGGTAAGTGTATTACAAGCGCCACAAACATCAACTCAGCAAATTACCTGCAGCTCTTCCAAGCGCCACAGGAGATTCTCTGCTGCCTCCCCTTCCTCCTCCCCAACCATCCCCACCATCCCACCCCGCACATCCACTCCCCCCCCTCCCCTTCCCCCTCCAACTCCTCTCCCCAACCCCGCCCCCCCTTCTCCCCCCACGCGCATGCCTGCTCCGCCATCCTCCTGTGCGCCCCGCCCCCCCTGCCATCCCCCCATGCGCCCATGCCCATGCTCTGCGGCGTGTGATGGGGATGGGTGCATGGGGCGCGGGAGAGACAGGTCTCGCGCCTCTGTGTGGGTGTATGAGTGGCTGTGGGCATGGTTGGGCGATGACACGTGGGGATAGCCTTGCTCTGCTAGGGAAGAGTTGGGAGGGTAGGGTGGGCAGGAGGGTGGGCGTGGGGGGAGGTGGTCAAGTGGTTGCAGGAAAAGCGGGAGGGAACGGATTTGAACTTGCAATTTGTGGTTACGAGATTAGAGACAACTCAAGAATTCGGACAAGAGTGTATGGTACGACGAGGTACATGTGGGAGGCAGGCATGATAGTCGAGGTCGAGGAGTGAGCAGTGGCAGCAAGCACGTCACATTCATGCGGAGTGCCATGTGCAAGTGCGGTGGCATGTGCGAGTGCATAGGCATGTGTGGGTGGGTGCGACTCACGGGGGGGGGTGTGGAAGGGCGAGTGGGAATGGGAAGGCACGAGGGGGGAGTGTGCGGGGACTCCGTGCGCGCTCAACAACCCAGGGTAACGCTCCTCCCCTCGCACCCGCTTCTCTGCACACACACATGGGGGATAAGAGGCAGTGGTGGGGGTGAGGCAGCAGGGGGAAGGAGGCAGGGGAGGCAAGGTATGGAGAGAAGATAACGCATGGAGAGACGCAGCAGTGCACGCAAGAAACGACAGGGTTCTGCATGGGAGCGAGACGGAGGGAGAAAACTGGGGCCGGTGGGGAGAGGGGAAGGAAGAGGGGGAGGAGGAGGACGGGTGGAAAGGGGGCATATTTAAGGAATGTACAAAAGGGGGAGGAAGGAGCAGGGGAATGCATGTAGCGTCTCATGAGAATAGCGGGTGCCAGGCCAGGCCAGGCCAGGCCAGGCCAGGCCAGATACTCATCCACATTGTACGAGGCTCCGCTCTCGTGAGAAGAGCGGGTGCTTGACTCGACTCAAAACGAGCACGCATGCACGCAGACCAACACGCACGCAGACCAACACGCACGCAGACCAACACGCACGCAGACCCACACGCACGCAGACCCACACGCACGCAGACCCACACGCACGCACGCACCGTATCGAGAGAAGAGAGGGTGCTTGGCGAGGTACTCATCCACGTTGTATGCCATCTCCGCCCGCACATGCGGCACACGCACCATCACTCGCTTCACCCCCCGCCGCCCCCCCCTCTCCCGCCCCACAAACGCCAGCCCTGTCCGTGCCGACCCATGGTCCCCCGCTGCTGCACCTGCTGCCCCTGCTGCCCCTGCTACCCCTGCTACCCCTGCTGCCCCTGCTGCCCCTGCTGCCCCTGCTGCCCCTCTTCCCCCCCTCCCCTCTGCTGCCTCCCCCCCCTCCCTCCCGCCACCTCCCCCTCGCCCTTTCAAATCGCCCCCTTGTTCCCCCGCTTTTGATTCTTCCCCAGCACCCTGCCACGTGATCCCTCTGCTTCCGCCCGGCCTAACACTCTCTCGGCTGTCTCGGTTGTCTGCCCGGAGAACAGCAGCACCCACATCTGGAGCCATTACCAAGGCACCTTCACCTGCTGCTGCTGCTGCGGCTGGTGCGGCTGCTGTTGCTAGTGGTGCTGCTGGTAATACTACTGCTGCAGTAGCAGGGGGAGCAGCAGGAGGAGCAGTACCAGTAGCAGCAGCAGCAGCAGCAGATGCAGCAGGGGGTGCAGCGCTAGAAATGGCAATGGCAGGAGGGCTTGCGCCTTGCATTGCCATGCCTTGTCTCACAACTTGTGCATCAGCTGGTGACGATTGAGAGAAAGGCTCCCTCTTGGCTACCCCAGCTGCTTTCGCCACCTCCTTTGCCCCGCCTTTCCCGTTTCCTCTCCCCACTGCCGCACTGCCTTCTGCTGCCACCTCGTTCTGTAATTTTCCACTTGCTGCTGCTGTTGCTGTTGCTGTTGCTGCTCCATCTCCTCCCCCTCCTCCTCTTGATGCTGCTGCTGCTCCCACTGCTGCTGCTGCTGGTGGTGCTGCTGCTGCTGGTGCTGCTGCAGCTGGTGCTGCTGCAGCTGGTGCTGCTGCTGCTGGTGCACTGGGGATAGGAAGCGAGCCTGGGATTGATCCATACGGCAAGAGGTTGAGGTAGTAAGGGTAGCTGGAAAAGGGATGTAAGAGGAGGGATGAAGAGTGGTGCAGAGGGGTGTGTGTGTACGGGTAGTGGTCTGTGTGGTGTGCACTGCGTGGTACTGAGGGTGTGCGAGGATATGAATTCATGTGAGGGTGTGAGGGCGCATAAGGGTGTGGATGTGAGGGAGTGTGCGGGTGTGAGGGAGTGTGTGGGTGTGAGGGAGCGTGTGGGTGTGAGGGAGTGACAGAGTGAGGAGGGAGTGAGTATGGGTAGCGAGCAGGAGTAACAGACCGTAACCGAGTGGGACCAGCAGCAGCAGACGCAGCAGCCGCAAGAGGAGTATACGGGGCAGAAGCAGCAGGAGGAGCAGCGGAAGAAGCAACACCAGCAGCAGTGGCAGCGGTGGGGGGAGTCGAGGAGAGGTGAGGTGGGCACATGTCTTTGGGAACAGTAAGAGGCACAGGAGCAGGAGACGTAGAGGCAGGCATAGAGGTGGAGGCAGGGGCAGGACAGGGAGCCGGGGCTGGGGAAGGGGCAGTGGTGGGAGAGGTGGGGGGACGAGGAAGAGGGTTGGGGGGTTGAGAGGGAACAGAGGAAGCAGAGGAAGCACGGGAGACTATGGTTGCTGGTGCTGCTGTTGCCTGCAAATCAGACTGTAATGCGACAGTTGCAGCAACGCCTGCTGCAGCAGCACCAGCAGCATAACTGTACATGTGCTGTTGCTGCTGGTGCTGCTGTTGCTGCTGTTGCTGCTCTTGCTGCTGTTGCTGCTCTTGCTGCTGGTGCTGTTGCTGTTGCTGCTGTTGCTGCAGCTGCTGTTGCTGTTGCCGTTGCTGCTGCTGCTGCTGCTGTTTCTGCTGCTGCTGTTGTTGATGTTGCTGCTGCTGTTGTTGTTGCTGTTGCTGCTGTTGCTGTTGCTGCTGCTGTTGCTGCTGCTGATGTTGCTGCTGTTGCTGCTGCTGCCGCTGTTGCTGCTGCTGTTGCAAGTGTTGGTGCTGGTGTTGCTGCTGCTGCTGAAGCAGGCGCTGCTGCACCTGGTGTGCAGCAGCAGCAGTGGCAGCAGAAGGTGCAGTGGTATCAATGCCACCGCCGGCACCACTACCACCAGCAGCACCACCAACATTACCACCAGCCCCAGCCCCCTCCTCCTGCTGCTGCTGCTGTCTGGGCTGCTGCAGCAGAGAGGCTCGGTGCAATTTAGTGCGGTGCAGAAAGGTGCAGTAGCGCTGCTCCCTGCGTTTGAGCTCTGCCATTCGCAGCTCGAGCCAACGGCAGCGCCACTCAATGCTGTGGCGATACGTCCTCCACTCAGGATTCAGCTGCGCCCGTGCACTGGGGGGAGGGAAGAGAGGAAGGGGGGATACATGGGGGAGGAAGAGAAGGATGGGGGAGTGAGACACGGACAGAAGGAGAGACCAAGAAGTGAAGCACGGACGGACGCATGGAAGAACGGACAAACGGAAGGGGTGACTTTTGAGCCGACTTAGAAGTGAGGACAGGAGTCACGCACATGTGAAGCACGGAAAAATGGAGGAACGGAAGAGTGGAAGAACGGAAGAACAAAAGAACGGAATAACGAGAGAATGGAAGACCGGGAGAACGAAAGAATGGAAGAACGGAAAAACAGAGGAATGGAAGATGAAGGAATGGAAGCACGCACCATGCATGTGAGCCATTGCCATCTGCATCCACCGCAGCAGCAGCAGCAGCAGCAGCAGCAGCAGCAGCAGCAGCAGCAGCAGCAGCAGCATCGCCTCTCCTACGTCCGTGCCCATCGTCATCTTGCTCACCCATCTCCACACCCGCCCCTCCACCTTCCCCTCTCAACCCAACCCCGCCCCTCTCCTCATCCCTCTCTCCCCCTCCCTCCTCTCTCACACTCCTAAAACCACTCTCCGCCTCTCCCAACCCCTCTGCATCCCCGCCGCGCCCCTCCTCCCAGTCAAGCCCCAGCGAAGCGAGGGAATCCCCAAAGGAGCTGGAGCAGGCCATAGCTTGGCTCTCCATGCCCAGAGGCGCATGCCCCCCCCCCACCACCCGCACCATGCCCCCCCCTCCCACCACCCCCATCGGCCCCACCCCCATTGCTGCGGACGCACCGCCACCAGCAGCAGCCGCGGCGGCGGCGGCGGCAGCGGCAGAGGGTGGTAGAGGAGCGGGTGCAGCAGGGGCGTGGGGGTGGGCGTGAGAGTGGGCGTGGGCGTGGGCGTGGGGGTGGGCGTGGGGGTATCTTGAAGGGGGAAGGGATCGCTGGAGGGGATGGGAGGGTAAGGGGGGGGTCCTGTGCCTTGCTGTGGTGCTGCTGCTCGCACCTACCCTGCCTGCAGAGGCTGCTGCCGGGGGAACAGCAGGACGAACAACAGCAGCAGTACCAGCAGCAGCACTAGCAGCCGCATTAGGAGAAGCAGCACTGGGAGCGGCACTGGGAGCGGCACTGGGAGCGGCACCGGGAGCGGCAGCAATGGGAGCGGCAGCACTCGGAGCGGCTACAAGTGGGGTGGGCGCCAGCGGCATGGGTGCATGTGAGGACATGCCTTGCACATTCTCAAACTCATGTGCCTGCCCACCCGGATGGCTGTACACATGCGCACTCGCACTCGCACTCGCACTGCCATGCGCAAACACATGCGCATGCGCAGCGGATTGGGCATGGGCATGCGGGTGAGAGTAGGGATACGGGTTCGCATGGGGATGGGAAAACGGGACGGCAGGGGCATGGGGATAGGGATTGGCATGGGGTTGCAGAGAACTAGCAGCAGCGGCGCTGCTGGGTGGTGCAGCCACTCTGCCTCCGCCCCTACCAGCAGCACCACCTACGGCTGTAGCTATAGCAGCGGCTGCTACAGCCGCCCCTGCTCCTGCCCCTCTTCCCGTCCCCGTTGCTGCACCCGTAGCAGCACCTGCAGCCACAGTTATAGCAGCACCCGTAGCGGCAACTGCAGCAGCCACTGCAGCAGCAGCTGTAGCCGCAGCTGCAGCTGGTGCTGTTGCTGCAGTGGCAGCAGTAGGGAATGCAGCTGGAGCCATAACACCGGGAGTAGTGGGGATAGCAGCCGCAGGCGAGGCAGCAGCAGGCGAGGCAGCAGCAGGCGTGGCAGCAGTGGGAGTAGCGGCAGCAGGCGTGGCAGCAGCAGGCGTGGAAGCAGCAGGCGTGGCAGCAGTGGGAGTAGCGGCAGCAGGCGTGGCAGCAGCAGGAGAGGCAGCAGCAGGCGTGGCAGCAGTGGGAGTAGCGGCAGCAGGCGTGGCAGCAGCAGGCGTGGAAGCAGCAGGCGTTGAAGCAGGGGCACTGACAGCACCGGCTGCAACCTGGGCTGCTGCACCGGATGACCTTCCTGACATTGGGTGAGCGCACACAGGACCTGCTGCTGCTGCCGCTGATGCCGTTGCTGCTGCTGCCGCTGCTGGCGCTGCTGGCGTTGCTGCTGCTGCCGCTGCTGGTGTAGCTGCTGCTGCCGCTGCTGGTGTTGCTGCTGCTGCTGCTGCCACTGCTGGTGTTGCTGCTGCTGCCGCTGCTGGTGTTGCTGCTGCTGCTGCTGCTGCTGCTGCCACTGCTGGTGTTGCTGCTGCTGCCGCTGCTGGTGTTGCTGCTGCTGCTGCTGCCACTGCTGGTGTTGCTGCTGCTGCCGCTGCTGCTGGTCGGGCCAGTGGTGGTTCTGCTGGCAACGCCATTGGTGGTTGCGCAACTGTGGTTAAGCAAGCAGGTACACTTGATGCAACAGCACCACTCGCACCTGCTCTTGCTGCCACTGCCGCTGCAGTAGCTGGAGCAGAAGCTACAGCAATCGAGGCAGAAGCGGTGACAAGTGCAGGTGCAGCAGCAACAGATGCAGTACTCTCCCCTGCAGCAGTGTCACGGGGCACAGTGGCAGAAGCAGGTGGAGCAGCAGCAGCGGCCGGGGCAGCAGCATGGGTGTGTGAAGGAGGAGAGGGCAGTTCTGTTGCGTGACCTGACTCCTTCACAGTTCCTGCTGCTCTTGTGGCGCCCGCTGCTGCCGGTGCCGCTGCTGCCGTACCAGGCACTGTCGCTGCTGCAATTGCTGCTGTTGCTGCTGGTACTGCTGCCGCCTCCGGCACTCTTCCTAGCACGCCTTCACCTGCTGCCAACCCTGTTCCTGCTACTAGCCCTGCTGTCATTGCTGCTGCTCCCACACCCGCCACCGTGCCTGCTGCTGCTGCACCCGCTGCTGTCCCTGCTGCCGCCTGCCTACCGCCACCACTGTCACTGCCTTCGCCACGAGGAGCTGCAACTGAAAGTGCAGCAGCAGCAGCTGGCAGGGGTTCCGGCACAGTCAGCCTCGTGCCCCCCACCACCTTAGCTGCCTCCACATCCCCTCCATCCATCACCGCCTCTCCTCTACCCATCACCCGCTCTGCCTTCACTGTCAGTTCTCCACTCAAGGCCGTTCCCGCACCTGAGGTTACCTGGTCACCAGAAACAGCTTCTTTTCTGGGGTTACTGTCAGTAACTGCTGCCGCCTGCCTGTCACTGTTGCTGATAAGAGGACCCGTGTGGTTGTTACCAGTAGTGTCAGTGTTAGGCTCTACATATGTGCTAGTGCAACCCTCCAGCTCCCTTCGCACTTGCTGCAGTATTGACAAGCCCTCTGCTAAGGGGCACGGCACTGCTGCTTCTGCTGCTGCTGCTGCTGCTCCTGCTCCTGCTCCTGCTCCTGCTCCTGCTCCTGCTCCTGCTCCTGCTCCTGCTCCTGCTCCTGCTCCTGCTCCTGCTCCTGCTCCTGCTCCTGCTGCTGGCGCACTTGGTACGGTGGCTTCCAAACCTAGCAGTGCGGCCTGGCCGAAGCTATCTCCCCCACCCAGTTCTGCGCAAACTGCCTCGTAGTCAGCCTGCATCGTTGAGTGCAGGAAAGGGGGAGGGAGGGGACGCAAGTGGTTGCGCATGAAGGGGCTGGGGATAAGACATGTGACACTGACAGTGCAAGCAAGTGCTTACACTACTACTATTGACTGCGTGGGTGTGGCTCACTCCACGGCCCTCTCACTCCACGCCCTCTCACTCCACGCCCTCTCACTCCACGCCCTCTCACCACACGCCCTCTCACCACACGCCCTCTCACCACACGCCCTCTCACCACACGCCCTCTCACCACACGCCCTCTCACCACACGCCCTCTCACCACAGGATGTATGTAAGTAAGGCAGAAGCGCACCTGGAAGGCACCCCAGCTGTCGTACTCGCCCGCCTCCACTCGCTGCTCCGCCCGCACCAACCACGCACGCACCCCCGTTCCCGCTGCTGCTGCCACTCCCGCTGCTGCTGCCGCTGCTGCGGCTCCCGCGCTTGGTCTTTCTGTTGCTTCTGCCGATGCCGCTGGTGCTTGTCTGGTGAGCCTGTTGTTGCGCATGCATGACAGAGACGGGGAAAGGGACAGTGAGAGGTGGCGTTAGGGGCACGGGGGTAGCCTGGTGGGAGGGAGAGAGGGGCATCGCTACGTAGGAAAGGCGGGTGAGGGGAAGGGGGAGGGCGGGGAGGGGGTGGGGGGGATGGGGAGGGAGGAGAGTGGGGAGAGCATGGGAATGGTGAGAAGGGGGGAGACACGGCGCTGATATATGCTCATTCGCATTCGCACTTGCACTCGCATAGCATTGCACAGATAGAAAAGGATTTGTAACCAGCAACGTCGCTCCTGGCAACATCGCTGCTACCACACCCATTTCTTGTTTTCTTTTTCTCCCGAAGTTTCAAAAAGATCTGACCGCACAACCCGGCGTGCTACCGCAACCAGCGAACGGATCGCGAGATGAGGTACCCCCGGGGAGGTGCAGGGAGTTGCGCGCAGGGATGAGTGCGCAGGGAGGTGCGCGCGCACAGCGGATCAAGCGCGAGCAACGCGCCGCGCGGCATGGGAGGCGGGGAGCAAGGGAGAGGGAGGGGGAGTGACTGCGAGCGGACGTGGCTCTGGGCGCGCGGACGAGCGTGGACTGATGGCATGGGTGCTTTCGAGTCCACGCATAGGTCAGGGATGGGCATGCGCGCTTGACGGCTGCAACGCGCGCGGACAGTGCGCCGTGACGCGTTGCGCGCGTACCCCCCCTGCGTCCCCCCATGCGTTCCCCCATGCGTCCCCCCATGCGTCCCCGGATATCATCTCCGCGCGCCGCACGTTGCGCGCTACACGTTCGCACTGGCGGGGCGCGCAGCGCGCAGCAGTGCTTCGGAACGTGCGCGTGGGAAACCGCGCGTAAGGAACGTGGAAGGTGCGTGAGAGCGGCAGCGATTAGAGCGAGAGAGACGCAGACGAGCTGCGACACTCAAAAGGCATGTCTTGCGGCGCGATCGCGAGAGAGAAGTCGCGCGGATCTAAACGAGAGATCCGCACGAACTGCCTCTGGCCTACGGCTCAACGCGGTCTTTGAGACCTGATCCGCGCACGTCACGCGTCACGCGCTTGATCCGAGCCGATCCGAGCTAATCCGAGGTGCCTCTCGCCGTGAAAAGCGGTTCGTCTATGAGGCACGGCGGGAGTGGTGGAAAGCGCGCGCGCTGAAACGCCAGCGCGCGCCTTAACGCCCGCACGCTGAGATAGCAGTGCGACGAGGGCTCGCGTGAACGGAAGGGGAGACACGAGGCGCACGAGATCAACTGGGACGGTTGCAGCGAAAGGCCGAGGCACGCTAACTTACACCCCAGCGCCCCCCAAAAGCGGTTTCGTTTAGAGACGTCTCAAAACAAATCTACTTTCACGCAGCGAACAGCAGAGGCACCTTGATATACGCGCGAGCGCCTCCCGCAGCGACGCCTGCAGCTGCTGCGGATAAGCCGGGGACGCGGATCCAGCACACCCGCCTCGCTGCGCCCTTCCGCTCCCCCCACCCTGCGCTTGACATCCTTCAGGAGACCCTGTCTCCGCCTCTTCTGCCCCTCCTGCCCTTCCTGCTTCTCCTGCCCCTCCTGCTTCTCCTGCTCCTCCTGCTTCTCCTACCCCTCCTGCTTTTCCTGGCCCTCCTGCCCCTCCCCTTGCCCCGCCATTGCCGTCGCAGACTAATTCTAATGAACCTGCCGGTTCTCGCACTAACGCCTCACTCGATATACGCGTCTCGCTTAAGTCACTAGCTGCGATCCGTCGGCCGCCCGCCGCGTCATCATCACCCCAGGTTTCCCCCTGCCCCCGAACCTTCTCCCCGCGACCCGGCTCCCCCCCCGCGGGGCCTCCTGCTGTTCCGCTCGCTGCTATAGACCCGGCGGCTGCAGCAGCGTCAGCGGCGGCGGCGGGAACGGCGGGGGAAGCGGAAGCGGAAGCCGAAGCGGAGGCGGAGGCGGTGATTGTCGTTGCAACAGTTGCCGAAGCAGGCGGAACAACGGCTGGCGCGGTTCCGCCCACAGCCATCGCAGAGCTGCCACCCGCGCCAACGACTTTCTCCGACCATTTCTCCGCCAGAAGCCGCCGCGAATCGCCGCCTCCCCCACTCCCTCCGCCCCGCTCCACGGGCGCCCAGTCGGCGGAGATCCCCCTCCCCCCTTCCGCCGCCATTGCTCCCGCCAGAAAGTCTGCGGTTAACAGTCCGCCTGCGCCGTCGTCTGCATCTCCGTCAGTGGCGTCAGCGAGGCGGACTTGCAGCGGCGCTACGCCATTAACGGACACGGACATGGACGAAACGACGCGGCTCGATCAGGTATAAGTAGAGCTTTAACGCTTTCAGTCGAGTGGTCTAAACGCGGCGCGCAGATGCCCCGGGAACGGGAAACCTGGAATTAAACAACGATAGCACTTAGAAAATACTAACGGTCATACGGACGAGGATGCTGCTGCTGATTGTGAGGGGAACTTTGACACCAATTGCCGACGCGCATTATCGCGATCCTAGCCGATCTTTCTTGCGACTGTATCAGTGCGCTCATGCGACGAAAGGACTGAAAGAATATCCGGCAACGACACGATCTCGTCGAGTTTCCATGCTTCACTACTGCGTATTAGTCGCATAAACGGCAACACTGCTCCCGATCGGCCATGATCTAGTTCGACTATCATATCTGCCCTAAAATAAACGAGCTATATTAGGGTTACCCTAATTTTAAGGAGAGAAACGATGGAAACGCGTTGCGTTATTACGATCAGCTACAATCAGTGCGCAATTCATTGCACAGCCACTGCCGGAAAAAAATCGATCCTTACGCGGCTTCGGATTATGGAACAGAACACTAACGACTATCGTTGCTGGCAGAGGCGCGTTAGGCGCCTCTTAGGTCACCCTAGGACAGCGGCAGCATGCAAGCTAGGGCAAGCTCGTCAGGTCGCCCGTATTGCGTTGCGTGCGTTCCGTTCCGATTGTTGTTCGCAACCCCGCCTTGAGGCCATGGCCCTCCCGCGCTCCAGGGGCTGCAAGCAACAGCACAGCACCGCAACAGCCCTGCCCCCCAACCCGACTCCCTCCCGCCCTTCCAACTCCCTCCCTCCCTCCCCCTCCCCCGCGATTCCGAACCAGTCGCCGGACCACACAGGCGCGCACAGCAACAAGCGTCACCTCACCACCAGTCTCTGCCGCAGCATAAGTGCCGCGTGGCGGAAAGGGAAATTGTACTGTACTAGTGGTGATGGCGGTGTGGGTGCGGAGAAAAGGGCTTGTTTTTCGAGCATAACTCCGCTCACCACCGCGGTGCCGCCAAGGTGGGGGGAAAGCGAGTTGCTGAACAGAACTGTGCGTACAGACTTGGTTAAAGTACAGATTTTAAGGTGTACAGAATTGTCTCGACTCCAACCTGAGAATAGCTCGAAGACTTCCTTCGAGGTCTCTAAAATGTTGAATATATCCCTCATCAAATCCTGTCATCTAAGCGAATATCAATGCAAGTTCTCCAAGCATTTATGTGGCCTTTTTCCTGTGTAAAAGGAGGTCCTGGTTGCAATCTCAGAATGTCCCTAGCCTTTAACAATATAGGGTAACTGACCTCGTCGTGATTGGTTCATAAGGCGCCCCGACCACGGCGCGAAGCCTTGGGCTTGGTGGAGCCAGATTTGTCGGGTGTTTTCGACGTCCTTCGTCCAGACCTGAGCTCGGCAAGTTTTGAATTGCGATTGGCTGCATTTGCCAGACCAATAATATCAACCTGGTATGGTCGATGTAAGACAAACACGAGATTCTGTGATACGCGTACGTACTATCACAACGAGGTACGAGTAAGGATTTTACTTCCTTACAAATCATGTTCCATAGTGTACAGCATTGTTCACTGCTCTTCGCCTGTTACCAAATAACGGTGTTCGCCACCACGCGCGCTGTTTTTTGACAAGCCACGCACTGCTGATAATTCCGGGTCTGCCTACGCCTCAGGAATTGCCCGAACCTCGCTGCCAGCTCTACATAGACTAGCTTGCAACAGCGCATTGTTTTATAGTAATATTTGCTCATGTCTGCGCTCATACTTGTCATTTATGACCCCTTCGATTAATCCTCGCGGAACTCGTAACACTTGGTATTTGGAGCTTCGTTCCTTTTCGGACCCGCACATTTTCATTTCCATACCCTCTCGAAAAAAAATGATGTTCTTTCACTCGAACGAGCAGACGCCTCCCAACGCACTAGAGCCACTGTCCGCATGCTCTCACGCAAGCACACACAGCCACGAATGCGTCTAATTGCAAGGTAAAACCAATGCCTTCGACATGAGAGGCCACTTTAGTCTCGCCACGCTCGCGCAGGAGCGGTTGGATGAAATGTTGCATGATAACTTGCTCAAAATTGCCACTCTTACGGCAGAGTGTGAGACCGTTCAGCGCGCTACACAAGCACTACCAGCAGCATCATCAGCAATGCCATCCCGGAATGAGAGCGTGGGACAATGTTCGACAGCTGCCGGCGATGGCATCGCACGCAAGGCAGGCGATGTATACAGTACGACACACCTCGAAGGGAGGACTGTGGTTGAATTACCTCGTGAAGATCGTCGCGTCAGCATGTCAACATGCACATATGCATTTGCATGTGAATTATTTGGGCTACGTTGGGTTTGATTATAGAGGGTACGACTTTGCTAGATAATCCTCCCTTTGTATGCCCCCAACCATAACTTTTAGAATCTTGAAACAACATTGCGACGGGGAAAAATACGACTTTGTTATTGCGACACATATGCCGCTCAAGCTACAGGGCCCTCCATGCTTTCACATGAGTCAACGGAGTAGTCTGCCTATTCAGTCATGGATTTTCACAATGAAAGCATGTTTTTGCGCTAACTACGTCACGTCGGACGCGGCAAAGATTCGACAAGCCGTGTCGTTAATGCGATGACTTGCCATGGATTGGTGGCGTATCATCGTCACTGCTCCAAGAAAGTACGAACTACCACCGTAAGCGGAGGGACCTTTCGCACGTATAATCCTGTGGGCACCATCGTATTGCGAAGTGACCCGGTACCGCATGTGGAATGTGTGGTGAGTAGGGCTATGCAGGAGATTCGAGCCGATTGCGGCTTCGATTTCGGCGTTTCATAAGCTGCGTACGGCAACAAGAGTTCACGAGCTCGATCATGGCGCCGCGCGAGCAGGTAGGCTACATGCACGAGGCAGGGCATATCGATCACTGCGTCAGAGGTTGGCGGCGTCACCAACTTCAACACCATCATGGCGATGGCGAAGAATCTGGATCTAGTGCGACAACTGATGCCGGGGTCCTGTAACAACTTGGGACATTGAAATCTAGGGACAACCGAACATGCCACAGTGCGCGTCATAGCCGCGAATGTCGCTGTCACGTCGTTTCGAAGACGATGCTTCATGTGCAAATGGATCGGGCTTCCGAACATCCAGAGGAAAAGAAGAGTCAGGGAGCCGAGTAGCGTAAGGAGTCTAAGGAGCAGGGATACATTGGGGGTCAATAGCAGACGGACCCTCTACTAATGAGACTAGCGGCTCGCCCAACCCAACCGACCCTCACTAGATGGAAGTGCCGATTCACGCAGTCGACCATACTCGGCTGAATAAGGAGGGTATAGTGGACACTCCTATATTGCTCAGAGGGAAAATTAGTCGATGGCGGAGCAAGTTACGGCCTGATTAACACTATAGCTAGAAATCTGCAACCGCCCTTACGCTCATGTTTGCCTGAGATAGATGCGCTTGGTCGACAATAAGCAATTGGCCATACAGGAACGTGTGGACCAAGTTTGAGTTGGTCCTTTTACCCATAAATCATCAGCGACAACGCTCGATAGGACGGACATTGTATTTGGACGTGATTGGCTGTGAAGACACAACCCACATATTGACTCGACTACGGGTGATTGCACCATGCGAGTCAATGGTAACAACATCGCCTTTCCTTGCTAGCTTGCCTATTGTTCGTCGGTTCGTGTCAGTGCCATCACAATGAATCGTGTTGTGGTAGCTGGGTTGACATGTACACTGTTGATGTCCAGGAACCCGCTGTAGCGGATAAGCCGAGTGATTTACAAAACCTGCTCGCTGATGCACCAGATGATTTGGCAAAGATTCTGAAGCGATACCAAGGAATTTTCCCAGATGACATGCTTGAAGGACTGCCACCTCAGTGACTGTACGACCACATCATTCAGTTAGATCTGGGGACACATCCGACAGTACAGCGATAGTTCCGACAGACACAACCCAAAACTGACGACTCACGGACGCATCTGGACTATCTGCTTGAGAAGAAATTCATTTTCCCTAGCTCGCCACTGTTCGCCGCACGATATTGTTCACATCAAAGAGAGACTGAAGTTTTTGCATGTGTATAGGTTACCACTCATAGGACAGAGTAACCATCGAATCGTGTTACCGGATACCGCGCGACGACAAACTGGTCGACCAGTATCTCACAACCCGAGTATTCTCGAAAAATCGACCCAATGGGGGGGTTACCATCAGATGACAATCAATTTGACCGACTGTGCGAAGTAGTCTTTTGCACTCACTACAGATCATCCGAATACAATGTTATGCCATTCGGGCTTACCAACGCCCGTATAACGTTTTAGATCACCATGAACACTTCGTTTTGCCTGTTGTTAAATATGTGCACCACTATGTACTTATACAACATACTGATTTACAGCCCCGACGCTACATAGCATGTACAGGGCCCTGAATTAGTTTTCAAGATTTTAGCCGAGCATCGACTATTGGCCGAAGCCTCCATGTGCAAAATTTTACAGGACCGATGGGAGGTTTTAGGCCATGTAATTTCTGCCGACGGAGCGAAAAAGGCCACGAAGAATATCGCGACTATTTGAGCATGAAACTGACCAACCTGTCCTGCGATGGGGAATGGACTACAACCAATCATGTACGAGTCTTGCAAGCTTTACCCGCACAAAGGAAACAACCCGATACATGACAGCGAGATGCTCACCACCGTGCACATGCTAAAGGTCTGGCGTTGTTACCTGATGAGCGCATACGTGACAGTGTGGACAGATCACCAATCACTACAGTACTTACGCACACAACCAAATATGAACTCACGTCAGATCCACTGGCTGGCCTATCTAGAGTCGATTTTTTGCTACACCGCTACATGCTAGAAAGGAGCCTCAAGTATCGTAGACGTTGTCACTCGCCCAACTACCCAAGTGCACGCCATCCTACGAGCCCAATACAACCCACTGCTCACATGAATATTCACGCATGGCTAT